AATCATATTACGCTGAACGTTATAATTTATGTCAATCGTCAAAAATAATCAAAGTACTGAAGTACTAATCATCGGATGACCGCAAGTTCTGGTGGATGGTCACAAGCACTTGTTTCAGAAAAAAATCACATCTCTATACCTGAAAGTTAGGTTAAGGTAGATAGATATATTTTTTCTGAGACAAGTTCGTGTGTGAATGATGAATAAATGACAGGGAATTCAACCTTACCGTAATAACTATTATATTGTTGTGATATGATTATTTGTTATCAGTATACTCTGGTTTGTTGTTATATATTATATTTATATTTGTATAATAGTTATATAAAATTTTCATCCATTTGTATATCATTCTATTCTACTCTTCTATTGATAGTGCAGTGCAAGTGCATGGTGGACACTCCTCTGCAATAATTCGTTTTTTCTAATAGATTGGATTTGAGTGGGCATTCATATTTTCCCGCGTTTGTTACAAAACGTTCTTGAGATATTCTTCAGCATGCGTTAACACAAATTTTCTGTATTCTTGATTTGTTATTGATATACATATTTCTCACGACAATCATTTTCATATCATTTATCTATGTTCTTAAAATTATTTTCACGAATATTTATTGATAAAATTAATAGATAACAAGCGATAAGGAATGTTTTGCACACGATAATATCCGCGTAATTATACGGGTTTCAGTCAAAAACGAATGTCACGTGGGACACTCCTCTGCAATAATTCGTTTTTTCTAATAGATTGGATTTGAGTGGGCATTCATATTTTCCCGCGTTTGTTACAAAACGTTCTTGAGATATTCTTCAGCATGCGTTAACACAAATTTTCTGTATTCTTGATTTGTTATTGATATACATATTTCTCACGACAATCATTTTCATATCATTTATCTATGTTCTTAAAATTATTTTCACGAATATTTATTGATAAAATTAATAGATAACAAGCGATAAGGAATGTTTTGCACACGATAATATCCGCGTAATTATACGGGTTTCAGTCAAAAACGAATGTCACGTGGGTAGAAATGTCTGTGGCAACAATACACCGGAATGCCCTTACGGTCATCCGGTGTAAAAATGCATAATGAGAGAAATATTTTAAAATGTTCGATATATGTGCAAACATTGATATTTTCAACGTAAATTTGTAGAATTTGATTAACATGCAATTGATACATAAAATGTTCATATCATGTTAGAAATTTGCATATATGTATTCATCTTGTAGATGGAACGACTCAAGTTAATCCATATAGTCTACACTTTTGAACTTGGAAGCTTGACTTCCGAATTTGAATAAAGCTTTATATCCAAAAAAATGCGAGACATAGTTTTGTTACATTTTGTATGCTCTTTAAGATGAAATAAACATACATTTAATGTATCTTTCAAGCTGATAATAAATATTTCAGAATAGAAATTGTGTTATATTTTTTTTTAATTTTCTTTTAAATATCATCAGTATTACTAGTATGGTATTTCTTTGTTATCTCGTCCTAATTTAACGTAATATCTTTTATAATGACTAAGATATATAGATCTTTAGATACAACCACCCAATATTTTCCTGAACTAAACTGTTGAGCTACCTTTACTGGGGTTTCTCCAACAGAGAGATTTCTTCAGTAATCTTTTCCAATACCACTAGTATTTACTGTTGAGCCTTGCCACGTTTCGACTTTTTCTTCCCTTTTACTGAAATGTGCGGATTTTTTGTTTTAAATTTTTCATATACGATCTGCAAATTTTATTTATAACTATGACTTTCTCGATTTTCTTTTCTGTTCGTTTACTGTTTTTAAAAGTATTAATAAAAATGTATAGCAACACAGATTTTTAATTTAAAACATTTAAACAAAATCTTTACTTCTAAACATAAAAAAGTTATTTTTTTTTGTAACACAGAATATAAATAAGTTTAGAGTTTTATTAGACAAAACAAATACTCGATAAGAAAATTTTGCTGTAGTTTTAAATTGAAATATTTGTTTCTATATTTTTACTAAGTAAATAAAGGTTGATGTTACTAATCTGACTTATTGAATACTGTAATATCACTTAGTTAGTAAACATCTATTATATCGAAGATTCTCCACTCATTGTCAATTTTCCATTATAATTATAATGTAACAATTCTCTATGATATTCGATTGCATTCTTATTGTTTCATAACATAGATGACTTCTTCATTGCATATGTAAAAATGGATTAAAGGGGACAAGATGTATACGTCATAGAACACAATAAAACCTAACAAAAGACGTCCATACACATACGGTCTCTATAACAATTGGTAAGTGTCTGAACCATACAGGACAAGCTATGCATGTATTAACAGAGACTGCCCAAGATTTGTGAAAACACCAATATCCTTAATAGAAAATATAAAATATTCAATGTATTCTGAGGGGTATCACATATCATGATAGTTTTTTTAATTTAATTTATTAAAAAGCAAGTACGATTTCCCTTTCTTCTGTGGTCTGTTAAGATTGTTTTAACGAATTGTCTGTCATTTCTATTTCCTCGGTTTCCTATTGTCACTTAGTCTGACACAAAGATGTTAGTGTAAACTATTTCCGATGTACAATCTGCCATTCAGAAAAAAAATGTGTATCAAATATATACATTTATAAATGTAAAATATGTAGTTATATTGTAAATTGTCAATCAAATTCATACCTCATCAAAGCATTGACATGACTGTATGCGATGACCTTTGTCATCAATGTTCTTTGGATTTGTGGTTTATAACCGAGACGACACGAACTGATTTTAAACAATAAGCACTCACATTATAATTGGACATTTATTGTTTAGTTCAATTTCTGTAATAGTTTAAGAAGTGTGTCGATCATCTATAAGTGTAACGCTGATAACTCATCAGGTAAAGAATAAAGCTGGCGTCTGAATTAAACCAGGTTTTCTCCCTTTTAATCCCGTATACTTTACCTTTCATTTAATGATACGAATCCGGGCACAGTAGACGCATAGATTCCCATTTTCTCAGATTAAAACTTTTGTCAAGATAACAATCAACTATGAATACAATGAATCATGTCAGTTTTATGGGTTAAATACAAGTATTAACAAAAACACTCCGTAATAACAAAGCCTTACCATAAATAATATGTTTATGTAATTGGCCATCAAAGAACATATGGTGCTATTAAAGATGAGAACAGTAGCAAATGTGCAATGTATAATAGATTCTTTCTGGTAGTCACATGTATGTCATTAGAATTTGTCTCGTTTATCTCTATTTGAGTTTTTTTGGCGTTTATAGTATATCATTTCAGTTTTTTCATGCATTTATTTAAGTTCTGTCGGATACTTTATCTTGGGTTATTTCGTATATTCAATTAGAGATATATGCATTCGTGTGTATCATTTTCTCTCTACTTTTTGGGATTGTTTATCGACTATAATTTGCCGTCATCTTTTGAAAATCGGTTTAGATTTTCTTTTGTATTTCTTTTAAGGCTGCATGTACCTCCTTTGTGTGTACTAGTGTAGATAGTTTTAGCATGCCTCAACTATATTATTTCCTGGTATTTCAGGCATATGAAATTTATTATTGACCCATGAATTTCAATTTGATGTCTCGTGTACATCATCACTGTTGTTTCGTGTATATCATTTGATGGTGTTTCGTGTATATCATTTAATGTTGCCTCGATGACTCTTAATAAATGTCGTGCGTCCGAAGCTCTTTTTCTGGATTTATCTTTATCAGACCTAGATATTTGAAAGTCAGTGACAAAAATACGTAGAAACGTTAGGAAGTTATGTGACAAAAAAAGACCTAAAATGAATAGCCAAATTCCTCGTGTTGTCTCATGATATGATGAGACAAATGTATACTATCAAATACAACAAAAGAAACGACACAAGGAAATGTATTTTCCATATATAATGAAATTGGATACACTGTACCAAGGTAAATAATTGCCCAATTGGTCTAATATTTACAGAGTGTTATTTTCTTACCAAAAACCATTGATTTAAGGCAAATACGCGTATTTGTTTTTGCAATTTTTGTTATTTCAAAAATCGTATTTTCACCCAAAAATTCAAAAAATCGTTATTAGAACTTAAAACTTTAAACTTAAACATGGTCTGCTTAAAATTTTGAAGGCCTTTGCAGATATTTGAATACTTAATTCTCATCTTTGAAATTAAGTGCCGACTTTTGACATCATTTTCCACAAAATAAATTTGACCCAGGAGCTGTGTTCAATAACACGGTATTTTCTCACTTTCCAATTTGGTCAGATTCTTTTAATCATATGCATTTGCTTTGCAAATGAATGTCTTTCATTGGTTAATTTAACAGTTGTTCCTATTTATTATATTGTATGATAAATTGGAGTTCAAACTTGTGTATCGTTACTTTTGTTGACTAGTATATATATATGTGTCTCATGTATACTATATGATGCTGTCTCATTATACCAGATAATGCTATCTCATGTATACTATATGATGCTGTCTCATTATACCAGATAATGCTATCTCATGTATACTATATGATGCTGTCTCATTATACCAGATAATGCTATCTCATGTATACTATATGATGCTGTCTCATTATACCAGATAATGCTATCTCATGTATACTATATGATGATGTCTCATTATACCAAATAATACTATCTCATGTATACTAAATGATGATGTCTCATTATACCAGATACTGCTATCTCATGTATACTATATGATGCTGTCTCATTATACCAGATAATGCTATCTCATGTATACTATATGATGCTGTCTCATTATACCAGTCAATGCTGTCTTATGTATATCATGCAAGAATGTTATTTAATGTACAGAACATTACGTGATGTTTTACTTTTATTATATTTGAGTCATCTATTTTTTTATTGCTTCGTCTATGCATAATGTTTAACTGTGGTTTTTTTTCTCTCAAGGAGAACGTCTAAGACCTCCACTGTTCGACAACCATTAACATGTGTTTACACTTCAGCTCGATATGCTCCTTTTATTATACATAAGCCAATTTATATAAATATTTATTGGACACACATAATGACTGATGAAAATTGTTATCACAGATATATATTTTTTTTTCATTTAAGTTAAAGTTTATCAGTATTATTTCATGGAATTGATCTGGTTTTCATTACAAACTTTCACTCAACAATAAAAATCTAGCTTTAATTCTCACGGTCATCTAACTGCTATTTTAGTTCAGAAACGTATAGTAAACTATTGAAAAGTTATATTGTTATAGGATAAGCGAAACATGTATTGTTTTGAAGTTATGTTAAAAACACGTTCATCATATGTATGAATCATTTCCGTAATGAAACAATATAGATGGGCTTAAAACAGCATAATATACCGTTTTAGTTTTGATTGTCCAAGGAAAAATAAAGTCAGCATGTTTGATAGGGGGACGCATAAACCATATTTTCAACGCACCTTACAAAAGTCAATTAAAGCTCTGGAAATCCGATATACATTTGGAAACATACACATCAACAATTCCATATATTCGTTTTTGTTATATTTGAAATTTTTGTCGGTCTTTTTAGCCACTCTATCATATCCGATATAGTCACAATATAAACATCATTGTATTCCAGTATGTTATCAATAAATTTACTCAGTCCCGCTAAATGTTTACTAGAAGACCAATGGAACCAGTTCTGCTTTAAATGTAATCCAAATGGCGCACGGTTGTTATGATAATATTTTTCAAAGTTCTTTAACAGGTACTGATAAGTCTCCTCTGTGTTGGTTGGCAGATTGGAACATTCATCGACATAAACGCAAGGTTCAGATTGGTTATATCCAAAAAGAGGAATGATGGGAACTTCCCAAATTCCTTGATGGCCATTCAGGTGACAAGATTTCATATCCGTGCAGTGTTTGTCCAAACCAAAATCCAGAGTAAATGGGAAAGCTTTCATTGACCGATCAAGAACTAAAGAAGAATCATAAATAGACTTGTTTTTTAAAAATTCAAACTGTTCATCGCCGAAAATCTTCAAATCAGGACTTCTCCATCCAGTGAGTGACCTCCCCTGATTTCCAATTCGTTGTGCAAAATTTTGCATTTGCTTGTCAATGTCAGATTTAAGTGAAACCATGTCCACGTAATGTTTTTTGGATCCATGGATGGCTATTTCAGTTCCATAACGTTGAAGATTTCTCGCAAGGCTGTAACTACTTCCTGATTCGGAAACAAAGAAGGTTGAACTGATAGGGCAACCATTTGGGTTTATTCTCTGAGACTTGAATAAAGATCTCATTTTTGAATAGGAAAGGAAATTTATATCTCCTTCGAAAGTGATGTAAACAATTTGGGGAATTTCGCTTCTTTTCATTTCAAACGGATTTTTGTGTGTCATGCATAAACAGTCAGGTAATAAACAATTAACATTTTGTTGACAATTGTTTAACGCCGGAATTGACGTTCCTTGTCCGAAATGTGTCAAATTTATATCCGTTTTTACTATATTTTCGACAACTTTCATGTTAGCCATTGACGAATTTATTGGTTTTATAGTTTTACTTATATTCGGTGCTTTAGTAGAAAATATATCCGTTTGTATCGTACCATTCATCTTCTCTCTTGGTGACATCGTTTGTTGTGTTTTTATTTGGTTTAAATGTCTGTCTACTTTTTTCACATTTGATTTTATAACTTTTGTTTGACCTTTTGTGATTTTTTCAATTGTTCTATCTTTACGAGTGTCAGTAATCCAACTTCTCCATGGCATTTTCATGTCTGCATTATTCATATTAAACAAGTTCCACGATCCACCGATCATCTGTACATTCGGTGCACTATAATATTTTCTCTTCGGTTTCTCGACAATTGGCGAGACTACAGAATTCGTAGATTTAATGATTGATGATTTTGGTTTTATTCTTTTTCGTTTCACAGGTGTTTGCATACTATCATGTAGTTTAGGTTTGTTTATACCTGTTTGTACAGGCTTGCTATGAACAAACTTTGGAACACTTTTTATTTCTTCATTCATCTTCGTCTGCATTCTAGGTAATTGTTGTCTCTTTGGTACATTTACATAAGTATGTGACTTTGATACTTTCTTTGGTATCTGTAAACGGTTAGCTGGGTTCAAGATTACATTAGTCCTTGGAACAGGCACACGTCTTTCATTATTCATGTTAATCGTTTGAAAATGTTTTCTTGGTGTATTACTGACAATTTTATTTGATTCAGTGCTTACAGTATTATCTGAAACACTTTTAATTATAGTTTTTGGTACATCTGATTTAGCATTTCTTTCTTCCTGTAGCTTTATTGTTTTTCTTAATCGATTTTCTGCCGCAATTCTTTGTTGTTTACGGATTCGCTTTTGTTCTTTTAGCATGATTTGTTTCCGTCTAGGATCACTGTTTTTACCAACTGGCCTAATCATACGTTTTGGAGCGAGCGGAGGACGTACTTGGGGTACATTTTGGATCAAACCAACTCTCGGCGAGAATCCCGGTCGGTGGGACTGTTGTGCATACCTTGGTCTCGATTGGGCATGTTGTTTTCTTGAATGTGCCACAAGCATTTGCTGCCATGTCATTGTAGATGATGTCTGACCTGACGACACTCTCGGGTGCTGCTGTGAGTAAAACTGTCTTTGTGGAGTTCTTTGTTGGTAATTTGGATATCGGGAAAGTTTTGCAGTTGCAGCCTTTTTAGCAGCTTGCTGCATTTTCCAAGTGCGATGCTTTTGTAAGAAGTCTGTTTCCTGTTTCACGTATCTTTCATGCCGCAGTTCTTTTAATCTTTGTTCTATTTGTTTGTTTCTAAGATCAAATGCAGTTTGACTTCCAGTCCCATTGTTTGCATTATTACAACTCCAAGGTCCAAAACTGTTAACGTCTTGAAGTTTGACTGGATTTCTCAGCCATTCTATAACTTGTTTAACTGAAACAATATACACATCATCTAAAAGTACTAACTCACGGATAAATCGGTCCATAGCCTTAAGCCTGTCTGGATAGAAGAACCATGATGCATGCATATTAATACCAAATGGCGCCTTGTTTGTCTTGTAGTAGCTCTCGAAATTGTTCCATAGAAAACGAAATGCCGCTTCCTCGTCCGGTGGCGGATTATTACATCCATCAACATATACACAATCAAACCTTTGTAAATAATCCATCAAAGAAATAACCGGAACTTCCCAGAATCCTCGATGTTGTTTTCTTGGACACGGTTTAATCTTGCAGTCATATGGCCACCCATAATCTAAAGTAAATGGTACAGGGGGCTTCTCTTTTAATGTTTTTTTGCTAATTGTTAGCGTTGCATCATACGAGTATCCTAGTTCATGAAGCATGTTTGGCTGAGCGTCTCCGAGTGGTTCGAGAAATGGGCTTCTCCATCCCTTGATTCTTGTATGAGGAATTCTCGCCATTCTCGCTAAATTCTGTTTTTGTTTCAGTGCTTCGTCTTTAAATGTTGACGTCTTAGGATGTCCATGGGATACACTATGAGAAGCAATCTCCATTCCCTTTTGGTAAAATTCTCTTACTAAACTGTAAACGGTATTGGAATGTGAGATAAATAATGTCATTGAAACTGGGCATCCATTGGGATTTCTGCGACTTGAATCAAATAATTGTCTATAGAATCCTGCAACCTGAGGAGTAATTGCATCATCAAAAGTAAAGAATACCATTTGAGGAATTGCTTTGTATGGCAAAGGCATATCATTCGAGCAACATACACAATTTGGCGGCTTGCAAGTGTGAGTATTCTGGCATCTTGTGCATGTGTTAGGAGTATAAGCACTTATTTCCAACAAGAACATGTAAACAAAGAGCGCTGTAAAAGTTAACTGTAACTCCATCATCGATTGATGGAAATTTATGGACTCTATCCCGGTCTTACCACTCGGTCATTCACAACACCAATACTGGTCAAACACTACAGTATCTAACCCATACTTTGAATGAACCTCATATTACCGAGAGAACTACAGTTGAAATGAAATTAAATAATGTCAGGTTGTCAAGTCCTCATTCATTTGTAATTAATTCACGTACAACATCTCCCTGGGGCTAACATATAACTGATGTTTCAATTATACACGACACATAGCATATCATTGTTTTCTTATTGTTTATTAACGACTTAATGTTAGAACATGCATTTCACACTCATGTAATTAATAATTACCTTTAATATCTCCTTGTACGTTACAATAAATGACACGGGTCATAAAAACCTTACAAAATTATGGACGACAAAACTGTTTTATTTGTCACTTCCACAAAATATACATAGATTAATTAAAAAAATCAACAAAAAAAATCAGTTATTTATTGTCTTCTTTCAACTTTTTTTTTATTCAAATTGATGTATGTTTTCTGTCATCAGAAATGTTGAGTTTTTTCCCTTTTTGATATAAATATTTATTTTTAACAATTAATTTGACAGATTTGATGAATTTTGATAATACAAAAGGCATTTGTTTTTTTTTCAATTTTGTTCATCATAATAATTAATCATAATAAATTCTAGCAGATAAACATTAGTAACAGAAGGCAGTAAAAACTTTATTGAAACATTACTTAAGGAAAAGCGGAATCCATGCAGTTATTACGAGTAATTCACGACAGAGCAAGTGAGAAAAGGAGCTTCATCGTATGTGTTCTGAACGAAAATAATGGGAAATTGATAAGCAAGAAAATAGATGATATATTATAATGAGATGTTTGTAGTAACAATTTTATAAAAATAGTACATTTTAGGGCAATTGTACACATGTTGAATTTTTTTTTACATTGTATATAAACTCATCATAGATACCAGGATTGAAATTTTGTACGACAGACGAACGTTTCGTCCACAAAAGACTTATCAGTGACGCTCGATTCAAAAAAGTTGAAAGGGCCAAAGACAGTGCGAAGTTGAGCATTGAAAACAAAAAATTCCTAAAAGTTTTGCAAAATACAGCTCTGGTAATCTATCCCTGTGTTAGAAAATCCTTAGTATTTCAAAAAGTTCACAGTTTTGTAACCAGTAAATTCATAATATGACCATATATCAATGATAATTCTTGTCAACACAGAAGTGCTGAATACTGGGCTGGTGATACCCTCGGGGAGAAAAATTCCACCAGCAGTGGTATCGACCCAGTTGTAAATAAACTCATCATAGATACCAGGATTGAAATTTTGTACGGTAGACTCTCGCAGAATGTTCTCTTTTGTATTTACTACTACCATGTGTTTAACGACCTTGACTACCCTTGAGGTATCACGAGGGTCAAGGTGTCGATTGAAGCAGCATAAAAATGAAATCGCTCCATCATGAAAATGGTATCGCTCCTTCATGAAAATGGGATCGCTCCTTCATGAAAATGGGATCGCTTCTTCATGTAAATGAAATCGCTCAGTCATGAAAATGGAATCGCTCCCTCGTGAAAATGGGATCGCTCCTTCATGAAAACGGAATCGCCCCTTCATGAAAATGCAATCGCTCCTTCATGAAAATGGAATCGCTCCTTCGTAAAATAGATTCGCTCATCCTTCATGAAAATGATTCATAACGATAATGCCAAAGAAAGCAATTAACAAACAATAAGTTAGATATTTGTACAGAGTTCCTAATTGTGTCCAACGTCCTTAACTAAAGAAAAACTACAACAAATATGTTTTATCATTCTAAAAGCAGCGACTGACAAAGTAAACGATTGTTTACTTAAATGAGAAAAGAAATATAATAAAAATGTCACCGTCTATGAAATATTTACATGTCATCTACAGGTCGTCATTAAGATTCTTTAGATGACTATACTTCCGTACGACGAGTCATATGAACTCTGTTTTTAAAACTTATTATAACAGAAAATAGCACATTACTGTAATAGACAAATAAAAATAAAATATTTTGTGTAATCGCCATTAAGATTGAAGCCCAATAATACAAAGGAACAAAAATAGACATTTAGAAGTCTACATCGTAGAAAAGAATATATAAATTAAGATAAGATAGACATTTATTTCAATTAAAGAGCCCATGAAGAGCAAATCAATTTATTACAATGATTTTTTATAAATGACACAAATAATTTTGACAATCAGATATAAATATGAATATAATCAACTAAATTTTAAGAACTTAAGCCAAAGCCAGACCAGAGCCATAAGCATATGTGTAAAAAAGCAGTAATACATCAGATCATATATAATATAAACAGGCAAATATTCTAAATGGGTTACATATTAACATATCTGCACTATATTGATAGTTTTCTGAGTTCAAACATTTACTAATATAAATTCCAAAAATGTTCAATTTCATTAGGTTTTCTTGAATAAAAAGCCAATTGAACTTGGCACTTATATTTAACATTTCGAAACTTTTACAACTGTTTTATCAAAATTTTATCATATAGAACTCTTTTTTCAAGAGATTATAAAGGCGACATTCACATATAAAATGTTCTTCATCTTCAACCTTATCCGACGTGCATTTTTTATATAACCCTTGTGATTTCTCTATATAGCTTTTTGCATATCTATTAGTTTCTATTATAGGATTAAACGCCTTTTTAAAGGAATTTATTGGTGTATAGACTCGACCAATTCACTCACAAACAAATAAAAGTCCGAAGGACTTTTATGGTATGTTTGTGAGTGACTTGGTCCAGTTTATACATCAATAAATTCCTTTAAAAAGGCGTTTAATCCTTATAATTCTTTAAAATTGAGATAAAGAATTCATTTTCCCACACTCGTAACCTCTATCACACGTAAATTGTATATTTGTGTCATTGAATTGGCCTGGCGCATGAATATATTTGTTGGTTAACGCATAATTATGTACTCCATGAAATTTGCTATCTGATAATAAATAAACTGCAAAAACTCTTATTGTCATTCAAAAGTGTTTATTATTTAAATTAATGATTAACGCGAAGTGAAAATATATTTTGTTAACGTCGAGCCGGATTGTGTTATAATCGCCGCCATCTTGTTTACATTGGTTACGAAAAGAAGTTCGGTCAACGTCGTCTATCGAAAAATAAACAACGTCAAGAATAACTACCGGAAGTCCTCTCGACCAATCATATCAACGTATTCCCTAATATGCAAATCATATAAGAATTATTTTAGGGTGTGTGCAGTTATTCTGATCTTATAAAGAAGAGGGGCGAAAGATACCAGAGGGACACTCAAACTCAAATATCGAAAATAAACTGACAGCGCCATGGCTGAAAAAGAAAAAGACAAACAGACAAACAAAAGAACACAAAACACAACATAGAAAACTAAAGACTAAGCAACACGAACCCCACCGAAAACTGGGGATGATCTCAGTGTTTGTGATAGTGTTCGTCTATTGTTAAATTCTTTTAATTCCATATATTTTTCTGTACCAAAAATGTTTTTAATTGAAGAATAGGTCAAGAGTTTACCTTTATTTAATTTAACAATATTTTCTCTAAAATCTTTCTAATAATTCAGAAATCTGGCTTTCACATAATTTATCCTCCATAACCTGGTGTATTATATTGTGATCTATGTCACAAAATCAATACACGTTCTTAAGAAAACCGGAATACAAAGGAAACACGTTTCTCTTTTTATTCTTTGTTCTGGTATTACAGAGAGCAAATAAACAAACATAAAACTGCTAGATAACAATGTATTTAAACATGTCAAAACTGTTTTATGTAATTATGCATAAAAGAATAACATGAATTACCAAAATTATTGGACAGCACTAGACCATACCAGTTCCCAACCAATCCAATTCCTCGGAAAACTTTGATGATGATGATGATCGAATAGTGTTTAACGTCCCGTGACAAATATCACATGCATATTTTGCAGTACATATCAGGACGAGAACATGTTAAAGTGATCGATATGCATCTTTATTTGCTTTGTACTAGAGCTGGATTTTTAACATGCTAGTTCCCAAGGTATTAATTCATAGTTTGACATGTCACCCTACCAGGACATATTATTCTGAATCCGAGCCGTAAGGTCTCTGTTCTTACTCCTTAATGCCGTGTGCTTTGCAGAGCAAATATAAGTGTTCAAGTGTTTCATATGACCCGGTCTGGGGTCGAACTATAACCTCAGCACTCAAAGCAACTATATATATATATATATATATATATATATATATACATTTTTAAATAGGACATACATAAAACAAACCAAACAGTTATAGGGTACAAGTCAGCTCTCGGCTTGTTGCCCATGTTGTACAGACAATGTAAAACTTATATGCACAATACTGTCATTTCTTTACTAAATGCATATGCACTTTGTTTAATCTATGTATAAATTAAATATAATATTTTATTTGTTGTCATTTAATTGCAAGGAAAGGACTTATTTAATTGGAGTAGCTTTAGTCCAATCTTATTGTTTATCTACAATATATGATAATATTTAAATAACTTAACCTAAAGCCAGCATGCTACCACGAGACCGAAAAAAACCCAGATGTACAGACAAAGAAAAACAACAGTGAAAACACGGGATGACAAATAAATCATGTCGTCTTACACTCAAATCTGGATTATGTACTTCTGAAGAGTTTTCATTCAAGAAGTATCTGTTTTTATGACATGTCATAACAAGACATAAGGATTTAACAAAAACATAAAAACCATTTAGCCTCCGTTGGCTTTATTAGCCTTAAAAACCCAACAGAAAGAGTATCACATATGACATATTCCTGAAATTGGAATCATACTTGTAAATTTAATTATTTATATCGATATCAAAGATTAGATAATACATAAAAAAAGATAACATGAACACCCAAAACTAGACAGTACAACAGTACAATAGACGACATCAACCATGAACCAACATCAAGCTCCTGCGTACAGACGTACAAAGACAAAGAACAAACCACACATATGGCAGATTAAATTTATATAGATTAGACCGTTGGTTTTCCTGTTTGAATGGTTTAACTCTAGTCATTTTTGGGGTCCTTTAAAGCTTGTTGTTCGGTGTGAGCCA